TGTGCTAATACCAGGACTGATGTTCCAAGTTCATAGACATCAATACTCACTGTGTCTCTCTGCTCCTCTGAGGCCTGTTAGAGAAGTTTTTGGCCATGCAACATCTCTCGCCTTTACATATTTAGGAAAATATACAAAACTCCTGCTAGTTTTGTAAAGTGTCAAATTCAGCAATCACATATTATGAGGTGGCACATCAAACCCTGTATTCAGTTTTGGGCCCCTCACTACCAGAAAGACATTGGTGCGTTTGAGTGTGTCCAGAGAAGAGCAATGAAGCTGCCCTTCATGGTGAAGGGTCTAGAGCATGAATCTTATGAGAAGAGTGGCTGAAGAAGTTGGGGTTGTTTAGCGTGAAGAAATGGAGGTTCAGGGAGGACCTTACTACTCCCTTAACAATTTACAAGGAGTTTATATCAAAGTAGTTGTTGGTCTTCTTCCAAGTAACAAGGGATAGGACAAGTGGAAATGGTCTCAAGTTGCACCAGGGGAGATTTAGATTGGATATTAGGAAGGATTTCTTCACTTGTTAGGGTGAACTAGCACTAGTTAGTGCTCTCTGTGTAAGGTTAGCAGCTGGAACTGATCTTAAAGGTCTTTTCCCACCTTACAGATTTTATGATTCATGAACTATTGGCTATGCATGAGTTAGATCCTCCTAAGTGTTTAGGTTCCTAAAGTCAATGAAATACTTATTTTCCTTAGATTCATAAAAATGCTGAATACTAAAATAAAACTTAGATTAAATAGAAGTATCTATATTCAGGAAAATCTGTCAAAATTATACAAGTTTCTGAAAAGACAAAACAGCCATTCTGGGAAAAGTTTCTGTATTTGTGATACTGCTGCATAGTGATAAAACTACGGGTAGTGCGCAGACAGTCTGGTTATCTAGGCCCCCACTTAAGTGCCAAAAGGCTCAGATTTAAACACCTAAAATGGAGTAATTTCTGACTTGCTGTATCCCAGAGCTGCATGTGCTGCAGGGAGAGTCTCACCAGAGCAGAGGGGCTGAATCCCCTCCTTACCTTGATGGCCATGCTTCTTTTGATGCAGCCCAGAATATCTTTGGTTTCCTGGGCTGCAAGTGCACATTGCTGTGTAATTTCCAACCCCTTATCCATTCCAAGTCCTCGTCAGAGCTGGTCTCAACCTGTTCATCCCCAGCCTGTGTTGATATTGGGTATTGCCCTGACCCAGGTGCAGCACTTGGCCTTGTTGAACCTCGTGAGATTCCTATGGGCCCACTTTTCAGGCTTGCCCAGTGTCCATTGGATGGCATCTTCTCCCTCAGGTTTGGCAATGAAAACATTTATCTCGATGTCATGTGCAAATTTGCTGAGGTTGCACTCAGCCCCTCTGTCTATGAAGGTATTAAATAACACTGGTACCTCCACAGACCACTGAGGGACGCCACTGATCTCTGTTGGGACTGAGCTCTTGACCACTACCCTCTGGGTGTGACTGTCCCATCACTTTCTTATGCACTTAAACAGTTTACTGTGCAAATCTATCTTCAATTTAGAGAAAGATTTTGTGGGGAACATGCCAAAGACATTCCAGGAGTCCAGATAGATGACATGTGTCACCCTTCTCTTGTCCAGTGATAAATCTCCTGATATGTATTGATTGCTTGCAGACTTTGTGTTAATTTTACTGATGTATTTGTATTTAATACATGTATTTATTGCATGTAACCATTGAATAAATTTATAAATGGCTTAGAGTTTTAATTGATTAATAATGGAAAGTACTGAAAAATTAAGTACTGCTCTATATCTATCTATATCTATCTATATCTATATCTATATCTATATCTATATCTATATCTATATCTATATCTATATCTATATCCATCTATATCTATATCTATATCTATATCTATATCTATATCTACATCTATATCTATATCTATATTTATATCTATATCTATATCTATATCTATATCTATACCTATATCTATATCTATATCTATATCTATATCTATATCTATATCTATATCTATATCTATATCTATATCTATATCTATATATATCTTATCTCTATAAGCACCAGAGATACCTGAAAGACACACAATTGTTTGAAGGATAAGACACTGATGATACATTTAAAAAGCTCAGTATTTGTTGGTGCAGTATTCATCTTGATGTGAAATGGCATAGCAGAAGAGAAACAGTCCAAAGAGGGAAATGAGAATTCATTCATATTTAGAAAACTTTTACTTGAAGTGATATCAAAAAGATTACGCCAATTTAGTTTATAGAAGAGATGAATAAAAAGTGGAAGGCTAGAGTTTTATGCAATAATCACAACAACAACAACAACAACAATAATAATAATCATCATCATCATCATCTAGTGAATGACATCCCATTTGTTCATACTTCTGCGTCCCTTTTACATAACATAAGAATTGGCTAATACCTACAGAAATTAACACCATTAAAATAATTTTGCTGGAGATTTTAAAATATTCTTAGTGTCTGCTAAACAATCATTTTAAAAACCAATTTCATGTTGGTTTTAATATTTTTCCTGTCAGGAAAAGTTGGATTTAAATAAAAATATATATTAATGGTATTTTTTTTTTATGACCAAGCAATGAAACTTTAAACTTTACATTTTGTAAACAACAAATATTCAAAGTTTTTATTTGTAAGAAAAAGTTAACATAATTATATTCCTAAGCAGATGAAGCATTGGTGAAGAAAACTGCAAAGCAAATATGAAATTTAATAATAGCTCTCCAACAGCTTGCCCTCAGATTGTTAGGAATTCATTTAACAATGGTTGAGGGGAACAGACAATTAAATTATTCTCATATGAGATATCTATCCATATTATGAATATTGCATATGACAGTACATGTTTCTGAAGGGAAGTAGTGCACAAATTTCATTTGAGAGAATCTGCAAGTGGTTTGATTTCAGCCTCCAGATATATCCTTCTTTGTTCCACAGACAAAATAATAATAGCACTAATACTAGTAATAAAAGCAACAATAATTAGGATGCTGATGTATAAACAAAGTTAATATACAGAATCATAATAACACAATATAACCTTCTGTAGAAGGTACATGGAAGATTACACCAGTGATCTGACAGATATTTCAGATGCATATTATCAGTACACTCATAAAAAGAGTAAAGGAGAGGTTGGTAAAATGTTCTGGCAGCATTAAAAAAAAGTCAGTGAGATGAAAAGTCAGCCAAAACAAACATAAGTAGAATTTACAATGCTGTATATTGTGATGTGATGTGTAATGAACAGAAAATGGTGTGAGAAATCTGTCTTATACTAGCATTCAATCCTGTTGTCATGTTTCACTAATTTTGAACTTGACTTGTGACTGATGACACTAATTAAAAAAGAATCTGAGAAAATAAAATTTCTGATTTATTTGACTTATAAATTTATAGACCATGGATTTAGATGGCATCCACTTAGCCATTGAAAGTGACTGGTAAATATTAAACAGCTTATCTAAATATTTTTAAGAGTATTTTGGAAAATGGAATATAAATAACACTTAATGTAGTGTTTAAAGCTAAAAATACAACCTATTACATCAGTTGAAGATTCTAATTTTGTAATCATTAAATTATTGATCTATAGCTAAGATAGAGATGACCAAAAGTAATATAAATTCTGTATTCAGTCATGCGTTCAAAATATATTTGAGGTAATATGTACCTAAATCAATGCTTTCAGAGGAAAGGCTATGTGCAAATCTCTATAGTTATGTCTATTTTGCAGATTTATTTCTATTTTTTCCAGATACAGAAAGTTGATGAACCCAGAGAATAAACTACTAATCTAAACTCTGAAGTTTGACTTTTCATGTTCTAATTCAAAACATAAATGGTGTGACCATCTGACAACTTGATGGGATACTATTCATAAAAATGTTTTGATCTATTAAAAGGCCAGAGATTGGATCAAGCCTACGGAATCTATCAGTGCATGGCATCAGGTTTATTTCAGAGGAAACAAGAGAAATAATCAGGACAGTAACTGAAGACTCATATATCCTACCATGGTGCACACTTCAAGAACTTCCTCAGTATCTTCTCTTGATGGCTCCTTCTGCTTCTTTTCACTTTTATGCCCTTATGCCCGTGCTCTGGATATTCAGCTGTGTGTAGCCATATGAGCAAAAGGTCTTAGCATGTTTTCCCAGCAGCCCTCATGGCATCACAGTCTGATGGAAATTCTGAGGAGTCACAGTCTGGCAACTTCTAATTTAGATGTTGAGATCCAGATTAGGTTCAAAACTTCAATGGCTTTCCTATTTCTTTTACAAATCTAAAACTTACTAGGCTGTCTTCTGTTGTAGTACGAATAACATTATTTACCCTAGCCGTGAAAGGTGCAATATTGCTGCATTTATACTCATTCATAATGATTATTTTCCTAGCATGTCCCTCAATAATGCCATGACCCTAACATACACGACCCTGGTGCTTCCATGCGTGGCTGAGCTAAACTACTATCCCATGCTTCCCTTATTTAATGATTATTTTTTGCATTTCTCTACTCTGTGTATTGCCTTTTATTTAATATCAGTAAAGTCATTAAGACTTGGTCTATGTATTGGCATAATCTGTCCACCTCCACTATGGGCTTATTCTATTTTCAGAAAAGCACCTTTTACCTTCAGGTTGCAGGGGTATGACTAATGTGCACCAGTAACACCTGAGAGAATTCTGGCTTCTTTAGGCTGTGTTTTTAGAAGTTTAACTGTTCTAACATATTTTTATCTAGGCAGATTTCATTTTAAGCAGAACGATGATGTGCTTGTTCTGCTAATTGAGGTAAGGTGGCATCAGGTGCAGGGATATTCATGGCAGCTGTGCAAATGCTGTCTGTACTGGTGATACATTCTCATTAAAGGAAAAAAAAAAAACAACTGTCTGTGCTCATCAGAGCTTGAATGCGCTGAGTAGATGCAAGGCAGGTTGATGTTTTTAACCTGGTTCATGCAACCAAGAAATCTTGACATCAGTGTGTCTGGGTGTAGGCTAAGTAATGAAAATAAGGTATGCTTTTTGCTCTCCTGTCCTTTCTTTGCAAAGTGAAGAGGGAAGGACAGAGAAGAGGGAATGTGATTGTCTCTTCTGTTCAGGCATGGATTTGCTGAGCATGGAGGAGGAAAGGAGGTGAGAAAGAATCCTTAGCCTATGGGTTCCTCTTGCTTGGTGCGAAGCTCATGCTCATCCACTGTGTGAGACAGCTGTCAATGCACAGCCTTCAAGGTTGAACTTGGAGAGACCTTTCTTTCTTTTCAGTTCCAGAATCTGGTCTCAAATACTGGATTACGGATTCTTTGTTTATGTACCAGGAGAGGGAGAGAAATGAGAGGAAAAACCCTTCTTCAGGACAATGAATTAGGAGGCAAGGTACACAATTTATTCTTGAGAGAAATCAAAGGAAGAAACATCTTAAATCTTACAGCTCTAGGACAAAAATCAGGCCTTCATAACCACACTCAATTTGGACTCCTGTCCTGAATTTTCCCCGAAAGTCAAGGCAGTCTGGCTATCTAAGGAAACTAGTCTCCAGTATAAGAAGGTCTAAATTAATCATCACATCTGCACATGCTTCTGAAAGTGCTGATGTGAGTCCTTGGGAATAATTTCAGGGAAAAATATCTCAAGGTCTTTGACACAAAGGCTTTTCTCAAAATGTTGTTTAGAGAAACCTGCAATTATTAAAAAAAAGGAAAACAGGAAAAAAACAAAGTGATTTGAATAACCAAATTTTGAGAAAAGTTGTTAGTATTTTTTTATCACCAAAATAGAAGGATTTAGTGGGGTTCTCATTTACATAAAGATATAAAACGATATTCTACTGTAAAGTATAAATGAAAGTATAATCCTCAAGATGTATTAACCCTTCAGCCTTATTAGGGAAAGTTTCAATTGGTGTACTATATCCAGTTTTGGGCTACTCTTCAATGAAATGTTGTTTTCCCTGCACTCTTTTGACATGAATATCCAGATCGGTTGAAATCAGCTGCTGTTTAATGGACTATAATACTTGGGATTGTTTAGCCAGAGATGCAGAAGGTTAAAGCTCACAGAAGAGAGGTAGGACATACTCGATACAATAATTTCTGTCCAGATAGAAGAAAATAGAAGGAAGGAAATGATCACGTGAAGTAGTACTAAAATTCTCCAAGTCCCTAAATACTGAAACTAGCATGCTCTGTGGAAGTAATAGGAGGCCAGTTAAAAATGTAAGAGAAGGAACATTTTTGCATGGTGGGCAGTAAATTCCTGGAACATTCTCCTGCAGGAGAATTTGGTGGCAGTCAGAATCAACCAGATCAAAGAGGGATTGAACAAATTCCAGAACCATAAAGGGATGTTAAAAGGACTTGGGAAGGGATTTTCCCTCTCCAATCCCAAGTACAATGTTTGTAGATATGAGAAAGGTATATCAGGGATGGGCTGCAGAAAATGAGCAGGCTAACATACTTCCTTTGAATAGCTTTTCTCATTGCTATTATCTGAGACAGACTACTGGACTGGAGATACTATTAGTATGATCCAATAGAAATGTTATTATATTTTTAAGGTAGATCTGCCTTTTATCCATAAGAGGACTTAAAGTAATCCTTCTTCTCTCTCTCACCTGAAAATATATTTTCATGGAAACAGGATATCTTTTAACAATTTGGATTATGGAATGCTCACAAACTCTATCTGGATATATAAGCAAAGATGACATTATTGCTAGTTCTAATATAATTTCTTTAGACAGTTATATTCTGATGGATTTTAATTTTCTGGATTAGGACAAATCAGACCAGGGAGCCAGCTATTCTTCTTTCAGTGTTATTTAAGGCTAGGCAAGCCTTGGAGGGCATTAATCTTCTCTGAGTCCAGAGGGAAGAGAGCACATTTTCCAGGCTACTGGTGGAATTCATCTCTCTGCAGAGGAGATTTTTCATTGCCTACTCACTGAACAGCCTAACAAGGAATGGAGTGGGCTGCAAAGCTATCAATGGATTCTGGAAGTGTGCCTTGCTCAGAAATCACATTTGAGCATCTTATGATCCTTCTGCACGAAAACAAATAGAAAATCCTACACTAGAGATTTTGATCAAAAGTAATGTGGTTTTATACAAAGATATATAGGTCTGAAAACTGATCCCTCCCTTATTTTCAGGCTCCATACTGGACTACACCTCTTAGCTGACGTATGAAAGAAACATTTTTAACTACTGCAGCCCTTGGGACAGAAAATCCTTAGTAATTTTTCCAACATTTTCCTGTTAATAAAAATGCAGTGTATTCAACTAATATAACAGAACTGTGAAAGAAAAAAACATATAGCGCTGTTGCTAATGAAAAAAAACTACTGGCTTCCTTCATAGAGAGCATGTATTTAATCTCTTTCTGACTGAAGTTTCTGAAATTTCTCTTGCCATTCTTAATTTTATAGTATGCAGTGCCTGTGCTCAGATTCAGGATGGAACAAGTTAAGAGACTTCAGCTAGTGTGCATAGTTCTTTTGAGTGAACATAACTCATTATTTGAACTGTGTAATGACACTGATTTGTGATGCCAGTATTATATGGTGGTGTGGTTGCCACCTGTCACAGCTATTACAGCAGAAATCTCTTGCTGCTAACCAAGATGAAGTAGAAGATGGGGGAGGAATTAATTGGAATGTTAAACCCTATAGCCTGGTGCAAATGGTCCTGGGACAGATATTGTGATGGATGGACCTTTAAATTTTTGCAACCCATGATTTAAATTGCATGCTATAGGAAATACTGTAGCAGGAGACCCCTGGACTGGGAGGATGAGACTCCCAAGACGCAGTGCAAGAGGGGCAGTGATCTGACCTGAGCTAGTGTTGGTGCCCCATGATGCTACACAACACACAGAAACCTCCAGTCTGGAGTGGCCGCCAAAACAGATGGATGCCCATGTCCTGGACTAAACAAACTCAATGGACATTTGTAAGAGTATCATATTTCATGGTCATTTTATGGACATTTCACAGGGGTGGTCCATAAATCATGGGAATGACACCTCTGTATGTATATGTAAAAGGATGGGGTGGAAGGTAGTGATTCTTAGGGTTCTGTTTTATGGTGTGGGATGTGAACATGATGTAAATGGTGTGGAAAAGCGGGTGAATATTGCACTGGTTCTGGCTAGGATAGAGTTTAGTTTCTTCACAGTAGCATGTATGGTGCGGTGTTTTGGATTTGTGGTTAAAAAATGTTGATAAAACAAAGATGTTTTGATTGTTTTTTAGAAGTGCTGGCACAGAGTCAGGACCTTCTCTGCCTCTCACATCCCCCCACCAGTGAGTAGGCTGGGAATGCACAGGTTGTTAGGGGACACAGCCAGGACATCTGCCCCCAGCTGACCCAAGGGATATGCCAGACACTGTGACATCACACTCAGCAATAAAACTTGGGAGTAGAGAGAGGTTGGATGTGGCAGATATTGCTAAGGAACTGGCTGGGTGTTGGTGCTGAGGACCTGAGGTCTCTTACATAACGTTTTCCTTGTGTTCCCATTTATTTGTTTTGTTTTCTTTGCTTTGGTTTTGTTTTCTTTGGCTTGAGCGTTGTTTTTAAATTAATAAACTGTCTTTATCTCAACCTATTTCTTACTTCTCTTACCCTTCTGATTTTCTCCTCTAGCCCACTAGGAGAGAGGAGGAGAGAGGCTGTGTGGTGCTTAGTTACCTATTGAGGTTAAACTGTGTCAACGGAATATACGGAATCCAGGTCAAATCCAGAGGCTTGACTGACCTGAACACTGTAGATTATGAAACCTTCATTATCCCAGGCTATATTGCTTTTCCACAGAAGTGTCTGTTATTTATGCTATGACTCCTTACATGGCTAAATCAATGTTGAATACATGCTAATACATGCTGCAGAGCTCCCAGTGAGGGTGACCAAAGTAACCTCACTGTGAGGAAGAATTAACTTCAGACAAGTTTCATTGCCTCTGAAACAGCACGCCCCATCAAATGCATAGTACTATTCACTTTATTCCCTGTGAAACTGTTTTAAATAAAACCTGGAAACTCTTCCTGAGACTAAATCTATGCCTGATGTCCAGCTGATAAACTCTTTCCAGATAAATAATTAAGTAGGTAAAGTTAAAGGATACAAGTCTCCGATTGTCTTTGCTTTCCTTCTAAAAAACTGAAGTGTTTTTGAATGTCAATATATTTGCAAATAAAGAAATAGGCAATATCATTCCCACTTTGAAATCCCATGAACACAAAATTATTAATTTCTTCAGAATAGCTCTTATTGCATATTGTTAGGTGCAGCTACCGCTTGAAAAAAGGTACTGAAAATGTACTCTCATGAGAATATCTATCAAGACGGCAGTAGGACAGAATATTGGAAATATATTTATTTATAAAAAAAGTTCAGTATATAAAAGCAAAGTCTAAATATTTCAAATAATTGATTGGAAACATTTACAGAAAAGTAAAAATTTTACAAGGAAAGAACAAAATCTTGTGAAATTGGGCAGATAAGAGTGGAGTTTACTTCTTGAGAACCCACACCCCTGCAAACAGCAATATTATGCAGGATTCTACATTTCAGTGTATTATGCCTAATTCATTATGTATTGTTATGTGTTGTAGTTTGTCTTTAGATGCCACTCTGAATATGGTGAGCTTCTGCAGGTACAGTATCATATCTGCCAACTCTTTACAGATTTTTTGGATAAGCTATTTCATATGGCATTGTGTGCCTTTGTTTAGGTAACTGAACTTCACTTGGAAAGCTACTAAAATATTTCAAGTCTAGTGCTCTGCCATAACCCTCATTTCAGTTTCTACTGCAATTTTAGAAGCCCTAGAGTATCAAAGACATCTGCACAGGTCTGACAGATATGACACAAGAGCTATTGGAGATTCATGCTCCTCTGAAGTACCCATTAGAGGTAGACAGGTTGTTTGAAATTGTATAGACATCTGTGCTTAGGCAGTAGAATAAACCCTCTAAATCTAGAGGTCTTAATCTCAGATTGGATTTCACCCAAATATCCTGTGTTTTGAAATTTAATTAAGTAAACTGATTTGTCAAAGTTACTGAGAAATCAACATCACTTACTGAAGTAAGAGTTGTATTCAGGGGAGGGGGAGAAAGACATGATAAGCAACTAGACATAGGAAGAGAAGAAAAAAAAGTGTGCCTATCCAGTTTTCTCTCCACCACTAATAAATGAGTGAATAAATAAATAATAAAAATAGATGTAGCTTGAAATGCAATAAACATGCTTTTAAGAAATTGTAATTATGGGGGGAGAATTCTCAGATAACATGAATATTCACATTTGTAGATTATTCTGCGTTACACATGTTTGCATCTCAACCTCCTTGCATATCTTCAGGCAATCAAATG